GAATAGACCAAATTCAGTAATGGAATAAATATAAGTAAACAAAGGAGAGGTAAGTGGCAAAGGTGATAATCTGATTTATGGAATGTGCATGAGGGTGGATGAAGATGGCATTCATTGAGTGGAAGAGGAATTTAAGCATTTAGTTTTGAGAGAAAAGAAGTTATCAGAATATAGGAGTTAGAGAAAGAACAGCCGGAAAGGGTGAAAGGAAAACCAGAAAATATGTGTCACAGAGGCCAAGAAAATAAATTGTTTCCTGCAGATCATCATGGTCAGTATTGCTGCATATCAAGCAATAATGGAGCCTGAAAATAGTTCATCTAAATGGAATAGTAGAGGCAAAAGCTGATTGACAAGTACATGAGGGGAGTTGAAAGGATGAGAAATTAGAGGAATTAAAGGAAGCATACACAGTTAACTTTTCTGAGAAGCATGCCCGGGAAAGGGAACAGAAGAGTGGTAAATAAAATATGGTGAATTAAAGATGGATAAGATCAGAACATATTTTGAATGCTTTTGGGAAAAGCCATTTAAAAAGTAAGATGATCAAAATTCAATAAAGAGGGAAGAAGAATGTTAGAACAAATACATGTTCCTCACCTTGTTCTACAAAAGCCTCCTTGAGGGTCCCTCATCAGGTGTCTGGCTGATCTTACAATGCTCTTCCCTCTGTTCTCTTCCTTGGGCATACTAAGAATTCTTCCAGGACCTTCAGCTTTGGAACCTTTGCACAAGCCCTACCTTCACAGGAATTCTCTTCCCCCTGCTAGTTGCTGGGCTGACCCTTCTCTGTTATCCAGGTCTTAGTTCTGGAAATGACCTCCCTGACCATCCACTGAATTCAAAGCCATCTCCAAATCTTCACATCCGGTTCCTTCTTATAATTCAGGCTCAGCTTCAGTATCCTTAGTGAAACCACCCCCGACCATCACCCAGTGTAAGTTAGTAATCCTCCCCCATCCACACTCAGTCATGCTGTTAACTGTTAGCATAGCAGATATCACATTTTCTTGTTTATGTATCTGTTTATATGTTTATGGTATATCACTTCCCTCTAGAATGTAGACCGTATGAAAGCAGGGGTCTCATTTTACTTGTTCAATGCCATATCCTCAGAATGTGTGACAGTGCCTGGCATACAGTAGGGTGCTCAATAGAAGTTCATGTATTGGTTGGATGGTGAGTTCAATTTATGAGTCTGTCTTCTTAGAAAACATCTAGAAATTAAAAGGCACATTATTATAAGTTTTAATCAAATTCAGCACAAATATACAGGTAACAGATTAGGGGACTATAGTGAATAACATTATAATTTTGAAAATATTATAAAGGATTTCTTTTTAATAGATAATCTTAATGATTCTATTATCTCATCATAATATCTACTCTAACTTTCATCTCTCAGTTATGTACTACCTAATAGCAAGAGGTTTTTTGGAAGTACTTTGCTATTAGAAAGTAGTCAGTCTAGGGTGCCTGGGTGGCTCAGTCAGTTAAGTGCCTACCTTTGGCTCAGGCCATGATCCTAGAGTCCTGGGATAGAGTCCCACAGCAGGCTCCCTGCTGAGTGGGGAGCCTGCTTCTTCCTCTCCCTCTGCCTCCTCCCCATTCGTCCTCTTTCTCTCTCAAATAAATAAATAAAATTAAAAAAAAAAAAAGAAAATAGTCTAGTGTAAAAAATTTACTATGGATAATCCATTTGGTGGATAAAACCTATGTATGAACTCAAGAGTGTATTTATATTCAGCAAACATTTATCAAGCCATGTACTATCCTAGACATAATGGGATTAAAAAATGAATAAAATGCAATAGATTGATCTCTATTAACTCAAAGATCTGTGAGTGATTAGAGATACAAAAGTTAATGAGACTGTTCTTTGAAAAGACTATAATACAGTTTGAACAAAGTAATGAGAGGTCCATTTGTTTTAACACCTCTGGGCCATGAGCTCTCACTTATATGAATTTAGACACCATACAAATGCTTTCATTCCTCTTAGGGGCAAATCATTAATACAAAATTCAGTTACCCTGGTATATAACACCTTTCCCCATATCAAGTGAATGTCATTTTCACAAAGAAGGGGGAGGGAGAAGGCTATTTTTGATGCCAGGGTTTCAGTGGAGCAATTAAGCATTGGCTGTAATAGGAGGAGGTTGCCATATGAAAAGAAGTACAACAAAGAGAATTATCGTGCTCAATGGTTGTGCAATGTCAGCTTATTATTTCTGGAAGGGCCTTAAGATTAGAAAATGACTCTTCTTGAGTTACAGGGCCTGTAAAGCCAAGTAACTCAGAAAATACTGAAAAGGAATACAGGAGAAAATAATACAAAAATAAATAGCAATAGAAATTGTGTTGAGCTGAGCATGACCTTTGGAAAGAGAGGGAAGATTTTTGCATATCTAAGAAAATCTCATCACAGGCCTCCCTGAAAGATTAAAATGATTTCAGTATTTTCCCATTTATTTAATGCAAACAGGTATGGCTTGCTCTGACAAAACGTCACATTTCCTACTCAGGTGCTATTATGCAGAGACAGAACAAGTTTATATGGGTTGCTCAAAGTCATTCTTAGAGACCAAGAATAAGTGCTGAAAATAATGATTGGAAATGTTTGTGTGCCAGAGATCTTTTTCTCGCAAACATTTCTTTGGGCTTATTTCGTCTCAAAGGATTGGAAAGCATTATTAGCAATATATCTCATTCAAACAATAATGAGGAAACAGGTCATTCACCTTTTGAAAACTGCAGTATCTATTTAGATGTCATTTATCAGCTGTTCAATGGAAAGATTGAGGCAAAAGCAGAGGGAGGAATATTTCTGCATCCAGAGATTTCTGGATGAAAAAGAAGTATTCCTCTATATATTACTTCATATCTAGTTAACAGCACAGAATACAACTACTTTACCAATTTTAAATTTAGCACATAAAGTATGAATTTCCAAAATATTTTGAAATTGTTATGAGAAAGCTATCCTAAATACAGTAAGTAAAAGCAGTATAAATACAGATTTGCTAACATTAAACTAGAGGGAAGCGTTTCCGTATCTTTCAAAGAAATTTCGAGTCATTAAGCAGTATTAATTCTTCTATCCAAATTTTTTGCTATAATAAACCAGTGACACTTACATACTAACTAAAGCATAATACAGAATGCCATGGCTCTTCTGTTTTGTTTTTTTGCTCAGTGTCTAGCTTCTAAAAAGCAAAAGGCTATATAAAGAAAAGTGTATTATTTGAAAACAGAAATAAAATGCTGTTTTATCAGAAATTTCCACAAGGAAAAATGAAGAAAATCTGATTTTTGCTTTTTTGTGTGTGCATGCCTTCAGTCTGTTCCCACACTTGCAAGTAGCAACTTTAAACCTCTTGTTCCTTCTTTGTTACCCTGCAAAGACCTTGTTTCTTTCCACTATTTCACAGTGAGCACGAGCAACTCATTTATAGATGGTTCCAGATTCAATCCATTTTGCTGCATGTTGAAATTTAAAAAAAAAAAGGTAAAAAACACCCTGCTTTAGTATGACTGGCCGGTTGTAATATATTTTACACGTCTGAGACCAAAAAATGGTCTGTTTTCAAGTTATTGCTTAAAATTGTCCCAGGCTATGGGTTTTAAGGTCACATTATGAATTTTTCCACATTTATGATTTCGACACATTTTATATTTAGCCTTTTGTGAAGAAGAATTTGTCTTTACCTTGAGCTGTGTTTGTGCTAGGCTGTAAAATCAGGTGGTGACCCAGTGGAATCAATGGGGATGTTAAAGAGACTACAGCAAAAGGTCCAGACCAAGAAAGCCAGGGTGCCAAGTCTGAAGGAGATGAGACCTACATTCATAAATCTCCGTAAGTCAGCAGTCAAAATGCTGCTAAAAGTTCTTTGAGAAAGAACTGGGGTAGCGTATATGAAATGAAGGCCATTTTGATAAGGCTGTAAAATAATCATTAAACGTTGAGGGTTTTTAAATTACCAATTTATTTGTGAAACAGATATCCTTAACCTATTCCTGAATTTTCCTTTATATACCCCATATCTCCTTCCCTTCAAGACCAGACTCAGGGATAGAGTGGGAGAAAGAGATAGTCAGATCAGCACTGTCCACTATCCCCATTCTTTGGCCATGGAAAGCAGTATCTTTCAATTTTGATGTGCAACTTAGACGTTCATTTATTTATTCACAATTACATGCTATTGATCATAATCTTTCATTTACACCAGTTAAACATTTGAACTGAAAGAGATTCAATGATACGGTACAATTTACTATGGGTAATACATATTTCTAATTTCTGTAACTGTTTTATATATTACCAGAAATTTCATGAGACCCTTCACCACATGTAAATGTATGTCTCACTAATCAACTTCGTAGTATTAAAGATATACCTTCTTTTTGTTGTTTTCTCAGTCTTGATCGTCCTTTTCGAAAATATTTCACTGTGACAAATACTGTATGCATAATGTCTTTATAGATTGATACCAGAAAAAAATTAGAATCAATAGGATTTCAGCCCATGTACACTGAGATTTCATTTTCTTATGAAACGGGAATATTTCATCTACTTCCTTATGATGCTGTCTATACACATTACCTCAAAAAATTAAAAAAAAACATTAAGAATATAAGCATACCATATCATGTCTATATGATGTGGGGAATTTTTTTAATTTAAAATTGTAATTTTTCTGAATCTTTCAGTATACTATTTGCATGTGGCTTTCAGTCATTGTAGTCAAACTGAATTTAATCATTATATACAGCTTCAAAATATTTTAGGTAAACTTATCTTTACAAAACAAAGCATTTACTATACAAAAGATCACTCTTTAAAGAATTGCAGTTATAAATTATTTTGTTAAATTAAATGACTTCCCGTTTTATGCTGTGGTGTTCACTCATTTCTACTATAGAAAAGGAAATACAATATTCATAATTTCTACATGTGCAAAAGTATTAGACAGACTTACTTATTTTTCTTTGTCATTCAGAAGATGAAGATGAAACGTTGATTTCCTGTATAAAATTAGCCAAATCCCAAGAAAAGAAAATTAGTACTGTTAGCACAAAAGGAAAGGAAGAAATGAAGATTGGATTGGATTCTATTTCGGCATCACTGGCTAGATCCAGCACTGCAACTGGTTGCAACTTGGCCGACATATTATCCCACAATGAAGGTGAAGTTCAGATGTGGAACAGCTGGAAGACTTTTCCAGAAAACCCTCTCTGGACATGTGCTGATTTCCAAATTGCCCAAATTGGACCCTGGAACAACTGTTCTCGCTGCACTCACCACCCACCACTTAAGCCTTCTTATACAGATTCGGATCTCCCACACTCTTGGGTAAGTTTGTAAGCTAAAGCAATGTATCATCTCATCTGGATGTTTTAACGAAAGTGCTCATCAGTCAAATTTATCAGTATCAGGAAAGTTACTAGAACTAGAGTTGTCTTTCCAAAAACCAATGTAGCTCTTGTGACTTTTGCTATCATGTTACTATTGTGTATATACCTCGTGTTCAAATAAACTACTGCACAGTATTTTTTAGAGAATTTTTTTTTTTTTTTTTTAGTTGAGGGAAGACTTTGGATATTCATTCAGATCAAGATGTGGATTGAATTGTCTAAATCACTGCGGTGGTCATGAAGTTTCACTGACAAATAATAGCTAATTTAAATAAGCGTTTTCCATGTGCCTGCCATTCTTCTACGTACTTTATTATTTTATTTAAATCTCACAACAACCCTGTAAGGTAGGGAAAGTTATTCTAATACTGATTTCCCCATTTTATGATTGAGAAAAATGAGGCACAAAAAAGTTAGCAACAGGTACAATATCACAGAGCTAACAAAAAGTGGAGCCAAGATCTAGAACCTAGACAGTCTTATGCTAAGGATCCTGCTTTTAGCTAATATATTGTAGTGTTTCCCATACACTAAAGTAGGCCCTAAGGCAATATGGTGCAAGAGAAAGAGTATGGACTCTGGAGTTACACAAAATTGGGTTTGGATCCAAGCTCTGCTACTTGTTTGGCTTGGGCAAATGATTAAACCTTTCAACTTAATTTTCCCAATTATAAAATGGAAATAGTAATATTAAATTCATGAGGTAATTGAGAAACCGAAACTAAATAACACAAATATCCTAGGACTTAAGAGTAATTTTTTTTCACCTTGATTGTAGGTTACTTAAGGCATGTGTTTTGTACCTTCATTTCTCTACAGTTCATGGTCATTTGTACTTGTAGTGAATAAATGAAACAACTTTGTGTTTCTAGGATCCCTACTCTATACCATTTTGCTCTAAGAATCCGTCTCTCACTAGACAGATGCTATATTTCATGGTGCATTAGAGCTCTCTGAAGAGGCTTGGAGTCCTTTTCACCTTTCAAGACTTGTGTATTAAGTTAGGTCTTTGCAGACTAGAGCTAAAGTAATCTGTGTTCAAAGTACCACATTAAATATTACAGGTGTCTAGCAGCAGACTTGGAACTGATAAAACTGTCCAACATCAATTATTTTTAGGAACGTCTCTGCCACTTCCTTAGCTTCATCTTCTCTTTTGGGGCCACTGGACTTAGTGGCCTTCTTCCTGGAGTACTTTCTTAGAGAGCAGCTGGTAATATAATTAGGAACTACTTCTGAAGACTCCTCTTGACAGCTTCAGAATCAGGATCAAGAATAATGACTACTTGGCAAGTAGTAAAGCTGGTGTATAAGAATCTAAATTCACATATTTAGAGCTTCTTTTAAGAGTAAAATCTGGAATCCTTAACTTGGCAGTCCTGGATTTTAGCAATCTGACCTCAACCTAACTGTTCAGCATTGTCTACAACTTCTTCCTTGTGTATTTCCTGTGCTGGACTGCCAAACTGGAATGATTTGCTTATTCCTAATGACTATCTTGTACTTTCCTGCCTCTCTATCTTTGTGTTTACGTATTGGCCTCCACCTAGCATGTTATTCTCGCCTTTAACCATTAGCCTAGCCCTTAAGACTCAGATTACTTTGTTGTCCTTTAGAAAGACTTCCTGGACCATGCCAGATTGAAGTAATCACTCCTTCCTTTGAAATTCTAGAGAACTTAAAGGCATTATTCTTCCATTATATATTTATCAAATTCATATTGGCGTCACTGTGGATCAGTTTGCAATATTGGGCACTGGGGCACATACACTGCCCCTGTCTTCACAGAGCTCACCGTACTCTACCTTACAGTGGAATTAGTTGAGCATTTGTTTATTTGCTATAGGTAATTTATCTTTGTATCCTCCATAGTCCCTAAAATATGATGGGTCCTCGATTAATATTTGAGTGGCATTTGCTAACTAAATGAATGGAGCTTGAGAAACCAATGGATTTTGTTTCCATAGACCTACATAAAATATTTGTCCCCATTCTTCTGTTCTTATATTAATCCAGTTACACATAAACTCAGTTATTGTCTATGTGTATCTGTGAATGTGTGTCTAGATTTAATTATATATACACAGTAATGTTTTTCTTTTGGTGGTGGTTTTGTCTGTTTTAGTACATAACTAAATGATTAAGTAAATGAGTTTTATCTGCAGAAGGTCAAACATAGCTACAGAATACTCAGAATTTCAGATGATAATGTTCAGCATTTGTGACAGGAAAACCTCACTGGATTTGGAGAGAGAGTTCAAGAACATGCTAGAGTTAAATTGGTTTGGTAACCTTAATGAGACCACTTACACTCAGGGATTTGAGACACAGAATGAAAGAAGTTGGATGAGTGCAAATTATTATTTTTATATTCTACACATATATTCTATAATAATACCAAGTGAAAAATACCCACTTTCATTTTAGCATAGCTGGTATTTTTTTCTGTAGTAATTGCAGGGTTATTATTTGGGTTATACTTTAACTTTCATTCTATAGAAGGTACAGAAGGCAAATGGTGTTGAGGGAAAAGTTGTGCTTCTGAAATGAGTGTTACCTACCATCAATGACAGGTAGTCAGAGGTGACATTTTTGCAATTTTAAAGGGTAAAAGTGTGACCAGATTTTTTTTTTTAAATCTACCAACATATGCAGATATGCTGGAGCTGAGCCAAAACCCCACATTTCAGGGAAAATGAAACCAGTCCACAAAGACACTAGTTTCTCCTTGACTTGAGAAATTTCAGCAACAGTAGATTCCAGTGTCTTTGATCCTGTTATCAAAGCAGAGGTTTTTTTTGTTTGTTTGTTTGTTTGTTTTTAAAGATTTTATTTATTTATTCATGAGAGACAGAGAGAGAGAGAGGCAGAGGGAGAAGCAGGCTCCCAAGGAACAGAGAGCCCGACGCGGGACTCGATCCCAGGACCCTGGGATCATGACCTGAGCCGAAGGCAGATGCTTAACCATCTGAGCCACCCAGGCGCCCTCAAAGCAGAGTTTTCAGAGGGCCTGAAATTGATGTGTCTTCCAGAAAGTTCCAGAAAGTGATAATCCCACGGCAGGCTCATACTCTCAATGCTGGTTCTGATAGAACTGGGTTTAACGCCAACTCTGACATCACCAGCACAGTGAGCTTAGGCAAACTCCTCACCCTCTTTAACCCACTAATTCCAATTCTGGACATTGCTATCAGACCCTGCTCATCCCCCGTCTTCTGAGTGACTCTTTCTGTACTGAAAACACCCATCTGTAAAACAAGGTTATCGACATCTACCATGTGGGGCTGTTGGGAAGGTGGAAGGAAATGGTGCCAGGACTCAGGTGATACTCAGGTTCACTCAGGTGAAACAAAGAATCCAGAGGCTTGCGCTGGGCTTGGAAAGAAGCAGTATTTTAGTCAGTGGAAATACCATAAACAAACTGAAATCAGACAGGGAATGTATTATTTGTGAAGGGCTTTTCACAGAAGTCAACAGGAGGAGGATGAGACACCCACAGATCTTTAATGTGCAGTTTAGTTGTTTGCAAGGTCTATGGGATCTGGAGTGTGGGGGACGATAAGTGATTATGGAATTGATACAAACTGAGAAAGGTAAAGACCAGATTTATGCAAGTGTATACTCCACAAGAGAAGTGTACAAGGAAAAACTACTTAAGAATGCAGGGTTTTTTCCCATATCTGAGGTGAGTGGTGTAGAGAGGGGATTTCAGATGCATTTAAGAAAGGTAATAGTGGAGGTAACCAAAAATAATATTTGAAGCCAAGTGTTTACAATCACTTTACAAGAAGAGTGATTGAAGGGTACTTACGATGAAGCTCGGCATGCTAAGAGCTTGAAACATCTTAACAAAAGAGGAAAGTGAGTCAGAAGAGGCTTGGTTGGGAAGAAGGGCAAGAAAGAATAAAATACATGTGTTGCAAAGGAGATGAGACCTTCCCTTAGTATAATGTTATGATAATAGCAAACATACTTTTCACAACCTGGGATAATTTTTCAGATTTATAAGAAGGATAAACAACTTCTTTTTTTTGTAATATAAAGAAATGGAAGTAATCTTGACATGAAAAGGAGGAGCAAATATCCATTTCTCCCTTTTATGTCTAAAATATTTTATAAAAATAGTGCCATACATTTAAAAAGTGATAATAGCAAAAGCTCTTTCAGGAAGAAGAAAAGTCAAAGGCCTGAAATAACAGAACAGAGACCCAAGTACAGGATAATTCAAATACAATGTGGATAGAAAAGTAATAATGAGAATTGGATAAAAATCAAAGAAAAACAAGTGAGGTTTATATACAGAATCTCAAGGTGAGAAAATAAACAGAGCTCTACTGAAAGCATCTTCAAGTACATGAGAAGAGGATGAGAAGAGTGGAGAAGAGTGGAGCGCTAAGGTCTTGTTGGCATAGTATGTGAACTACTGCACAACTGCCCCAGAAGAGAAAGCATGGCTAATGGAAGATTTCTCTAGGGAACTGTTTCAGTGAGAGGAACAGGATGTGTACTGAAGCTCACCAAGAAATAAAGGAACAAAATATTTTACAATTAACCTTTCGATTCAAATGGGGAATAGTGAACCCTCTAATTACTGACATGGGGAAATGCTCCGGGGACCACAGACCCACTGCTGAATGGTATAGGAGTTTTTATACTGACCAAGAAAACTACTGATCTGTGGGGAAGAAGTGACCAAAGCAAGATCAGCTGTTTGGGGGCCTCTTCTACTTTCTGTTCTCCACCTTGGCAATCTGTCGCAGTGTCTCCGACCCTGGTCTGCTTTCTTCAATCAACATGACATTGTCATTACCAGATTAATCTACCAGATTAATTTACTTGACTAATCTACCTGCTTAATGATTCCAAAGCTCAAATCTAATGTTACTGCTCCCCTCACAAGCCTTTAAATATATCCCCAACACCGACAGGGTCAAATGC